ATATCTTGGCCTGTGAGAAAGGTAAACAAGCTTGTCTGTTTTGAAGGCTTTCCTTCTCCAAAAGCTCTTCCATAAGGAGAACAAATCTTAAATACTGTTCAACTGAATGTATTAATTTCCTACCAACAGCGCAGGAAGGAAAAAAGTCCCTCATAAGATAAAGTATTTTAATGGCCATCATTTAAGTTCAGTTATATAGAGTAAAAAGTTTGGTTATGTTTTTGTCTTGCTAACTTACCTGTATCTCTAGGAAAGTTTCATAGCATAACATCCTTCTAAAAACAAATTTCTCTTCGACCATTTAAGGTCGTCTGATCTCCAAAACAACATAGCTACTCAGTGTGTGCAGCTCCATGGTGGATGGGGGTACATGTGGGAGTATCCAATTGCAAAGTAAGTGTAACATTTCAGACTTGAATGATGAATGATTACCAGCAAAGTAAAATGAGGCACTTCCTTTATGTCTACTTGTCAGTTGTTTTGTATTAGTACTGATTTACTGTTCCTTTTCCCATAATGTTTATTGAAAGGCAATCCACTGTACAGATGTCTGCAGGAAGGCTTTGTTTTGATTCTTCAAATAATTCATAAGCTGTTGGGCAATTATTACCTATTTTCAGAAAGGAGAAGTTGCTTTTCTAGAAGAAAATGTTAATTGAAAAGCCAGAGAAGCAATGTGAAAATAAAAATGAGGGGAGCTAGTTTGTATGTTTTATCTGAAATTAAATGCATATGTATGAAGGAAAGAAAACATGTTGGTCAGCCTAAATGTTTTGTAATACCACAAAATAACAAATGGCCTAATCAAGAGCATGACTGGCTACATCCAGCTTTTTACACACACCTTTTTCAATGAAAAAACTAAGAGATTTTTATGTAGAGAGGAATTTGCCATTCCCAGTTCTTTTGTTTACCTTATGAATTTAGGGACCTTTTTTTTTTATATTTCCTTGCATATTGTCTGTGAAGATTTGTTTCCTTTTGCGTACATGCCATTTGCCATGCTAATATAAGTAGACCTGTTGGTGTGTTTTTTTGTTTTTTTGTTTTGTGGGTTTTTTGTTTTTTTTTTTTTTAAAGAGGGGGTAGTCTGATAGAAATAGCAAAACCAGGACTGCTGTGCAGTTGTTAAGTAGATAACTTTTTATTTTTTAACCGACCAGGTTTAGATTTTTTTTATTCTAAATACATTTAGACGTTGCTTTAAAATAACTTTTTCCTGCCTGTTTTTAATGGGTGCAACTTTTGAGTGTTCTGCACCCTATCTCACTAAATAGGAAGGACAGCAAGCCCTGTTCAGGGTGTCCTCGAACCCCTGCTTATCTGCGAGTGCAGTAGTTATCTGTACAGGGTTCTATTATCCCCGTGGTTCAGC